GTCATGGGGTGGGAGCCGCAGCTGCGGGGCTTCCCGGGGCCGGGGGACAGGAACCCGTGGGCTCCCCGGTGCCAGGGGACAGGAACCCGTGGGCTCCCCGGCACAGGGCGGGCACAGCCACCACCCCCGGGGAGGCAGCAGCTCCCACACACTGCTTCTGCTGCTACTTTGGGCTCCTGGTGCGGGGAGGAGGGGCCCCCAGAACCCACCGGCATCTGTGCAAGAGGGGTGGGCTCAGGCACACAGGTGCCATTAGCCAAACTGTGCTCTCAGTGGAGAGCATCCTCGGTCAGAAGTGACCTGGGCTCTGCCCCGAGTCCGCAGGCGGTGACAGCAGCCCACGAACCAGCTGACGGGTCACAGCGCGCCTGCCCGGGGCCGGGAAGGGCAGTGCAGGACATCCCCTCCTCCTGCACCCGTGGGACTGGTGGCAGCTGGGGACACGTCTGTCCCCCGGCACCGTGGGTGCAGCCCAGCCCCACAGACCACCCCGCGCCTGCAGACCCACATCCTCCCGACGCGACCCGGCCCTGCCTGCTGTAGCACTCATCTCGGCCCGCGCCGTCCCTCGCCGCTGGCTGGAAGAATAAAAATCCACAGACAGGACTTTTTGATGTAGGAGCAGCCGCAGCAACCTGCGGCTCCCCCCTCACACAGCAGAGGATGCTTCCTGAGCCGAAAACCAGCAGCAAGACATGCGTTACTCAAGTTTTTTGATCCCTTTTATTGACAGAGAGCTTCCAACATTTATAATTCAGAATTGTACTTGGTTGTTTACACTCAGATTATAAAGTAAAATTACGTACGATGCAATTACAAACACAGTACATAAGCCCTCTTCAACAGTAAATTTTGGTGATCGCACCTGTAAACGGTGTCACAGCACTCCCAGTTCCTTCCATCTGGTTGCGGGGAGATCATTTCAAGCTTTCAGGTCTTAAATCATTTGGAAAAACCACTCTGGACTATGCAGTAGGAACGATTGTGCTGGGATTGAAATAACAAACCGGAACATAACACCAAGCCACGAGGCTTTACATTTGTGTTTTTTTTCCCACCTAGGCACTCGCACAGCTTACGGTAAGAGATATATAAAAATAACCAACAATCTGCAAGTGCTTGTTCTGCAAGACTGGTTTCCGAAAACAGTATCTCGTGGTGCCCCAGTGACAGCTGAGCAGGATAGTGCTCTGCTGGGAAAGGAGAACTTTGTGGGTCTATTTGGAACAAGACGAATGTGCTGATGGAAATGGCTATTTGTGTTTTTCCCTCTTAATTAGATGCGTGTTCCTGTTAACAGGAAAGCACTGGTGAAAATGCAGGAACAAGAAGTATGTAGCGGACACATTTCGAATACTTCCCGTTCCCAACTGCACGTCGTGAGCGGCTCACAGACGGGTCACTTACCTCTGCCTCCGACAAAACCCCAAACCTCAAAGTCCTGCTCCACCAGCAGCTAACAGTCCTACTGGCTCAAGCTGGGTTCGGGCAGTGGCTGAATACAAGTTTTGTACAACATCACAGTTTTGTTTCCCTTATAAATAGGATTCCCAGGAGGCCTTCGAATCTTTACTTCATTTTATGAGATGCTACATACCTCTTTAGCTCACTAAATGAGAATTTAGCAATACTGAGTTAAAACCAGGCGAGGACACCAACACCACAACATGGGCTTTCTATCAGCCAAACAAATCCAGGGCGGTTTAACCCGTGCCTTCGCTTTAGACGCGGTGAGGGAGGTCCCCATCACCTGAGCTGTCCTCGCGGCACCGCCAAAGCCCAGCTCGAGCTGGGGACAGCGCGCTGCCTCGCTCACCTCTTCCCACCCTCCCACACCCTCCCCAACGCGGCGATGAACTGGGTCAAGTTAGACAGGATGAAAACAAAGTGCACAAAAGAAACGTGGGGTTTGTGTCCTGTTCCCCACGGAGGAATAAATTAATTAAGGCTTCAGCTTGAGGTGCGCCTGCGCCTACTTTGGGTGCAGCATCAGAGCACCAGTGGCCCCGCGCAGCCCCCGCCAGCGGAGGGAAACGCCAAAAAAAGTCTCCTTTTCCTCCCCAGCGTCACAGCGGCCCCGAGATGTGGCGGCGTTGAGGTGGCACCCGGCCGACCCGCGGCACCGCCCAAAAAAGCCTTTTTTTTCTAAGTGCAAATTCACACAGCGATTCGCTGCAGCGCTCGCCCCGGGCAGGCGGTATTTGAGCAGAAGAGTGAAAAGGTTCCCACGCAGCCGCTCGTGGCTGGTCGGTGCGATC